ACGAATGATGACTTAAAATTATGTCATGTGTGGAAATTGGAAGATAATAAAATAATGGGAATAGCAGCATAAAGTTACATTTTTCGGAATACCCGACTATATCTGCGAACACGCTATTTCAAGCTCAGGCGCAGCACTATAACTCTACATGCTCGCATATATGTATATATAATATTGTATAAATATATATGTAGGTACAATTTGACAAATGTCATTGCACTTTATTTGATAAAAGAAAAACTTTGCCAACTTCGCAGTGCCCACTATGCTGGCCACTTGTCATTCTACTCGTTGGCTTGCATCCAGCGAATTCCACCGACAGTGACAGCGCATTACTCTTTCTGCTGCTAACCTGTTGGCTTAGTTTTCGGTCTGCGCTAAATGAAAGTTTGTTTACTTTTTCTTAAACACCTACATATATTTCATGACCAGCCGGGTATTGCGTGCAGCATAATTTATAAATGCTTGATAAACCAATTCAACAATTATTTGCGCTTTGTTAATCAGGGTAATTATTGGCGATTTTGAAAAAGAAAGAAATGATTTTTAAATATTTGTATAACAATTTGTTGTTGTTGTTTATATATAAAGTGAGGCGCAATTACTACAAAAAAAGCATATAGACTGGAAATCTTTGGCCGGACCGAGAACACGCACCCATAATCTCTGTACTTGTCTTAGAACCTTAACACTGGAAGACTGTCAAGATTTCATGGAATCTATTACTCTAAATGGTAATTTAGTCGGAGAAACGTGTCGTATTTTCATTCATATAAAAATACATACACTTACATATGTACATATATATGATTGACGCTTCCACCTTCACAGGGTACTTGGCCTTTCCTTTCTTTGTGATTCGATTTTAGTACTTTTTATACCTTATTAAAATTAAAAAATGAAAGTATGATAATTTTATATGTATATGTAGATATGTATGAAGATGAGTAATAGCATATTTAACTGTTTCGTTGCATCTTTAACGCTTCAACTTAAGCAAATTTATGACCAGAAAAGAAATGGCAAAGCAAACTCAAAATATTAATTATAGAAAATGTCTGCAAATTAAGTTATTGTTCATGGATCAAGGGCCATGCAAAAGAGTCAGCATCAACGTTGCATGCAACAGAGTCGTCGCCACACAGCCAACACACAAGTAAATGGCAATTTCAGACCGCAGTAAAACGCTTTTTATTTGCTGAACTAACTGACCATGGCGGAAAGTCAGCAACACGCAAGCAGGCAAAGCGACAAGCGTGCGGACGTGGAAATCGCCGGCTAAACATACGGGCGGAAATTGCAAATACACGGGTGAGCTCTAAGATACCACACCATGAGTGCCAACGGCAGTAAGATGCCACCGAGGCATTGACGTATGTAAATTCAATGAAAATGAATGGAAAATATTTTTGAAGAAGTGTTAGGAAAATAAATGAAATAAAGAGTGGTGAAACATGCCACTGCATAGCATAGGCTTTTACGCGTCACACACTAACTATGGTAGAAAACCAAAAGGTAAACTCAAATATTGGTTCATCATAAAAGTAGCTAACGGCAAGTGCCTTCAAGACAACTCTCATAAGCTTAGGTGTGCCGATAATAAATCCATAGCTTGTTTTTTATTTGTAGGCAAATTTATAAACTCGTCAGTGTCACCGCAAGTTGACAATGTTACATGAACTTGTTGAATGTTGCACATTGGAGTGGATTACGGCTTATGGCTTACGTCTTGTGGCCGTCATCTCCGGACAGCAGCTACAAAACACTCAACTAACATATTTGCTCGCACCCGTTCAAGCTAACCGCAAATGGAAAGAGTTGCATTACCGCTCATAGCGCACACAGCGAAATCAATAGCGCGCGTGCGCATACATATTTATCTATACTTATTCCCAATAAGCAAAAATAACCTACTTTGTTCGAGCTCCAACGTTGGATTTTGCATTCCGCCATGAATATTTAAAATAGATGAACGTTTCATAAATAGTAAGATGCGCCGATATTTATGAACGGAATTGCATCCAAGTGAGATCTTTAAAGATATGGTGAAGTTTTACAGAATTTTTTACAAGTTTTTGAGGACAGCTCAAGAAATAAGTCGGGAACATTTCAAATGCAGTGTTTTTTCCGAAATTACGCTACTAAACTTTTTTTTTGTTCAGTATTTGACTGTGTTGCCGTTAACATATGTATTTGGAAAAAATGTATACCTTTGGAAAGACGTGCAGAAGTGCACAACGTTATTTTTTCGCATGTAAGTACGACAACGGGAACACAGGTAAAAATGCGTTGGCGAAAATTTAGCGACTACAACAACTACAAGCGTAGTGGCTTGTTTTCATTGGTCGATGTTATTTCTCCTTTGCGGCTCACACTTAACACAGTCGAATACAGAAGTACATTTCGTCGCTGTTCTGTATAAGTTGAAAATACATTTATCGGATAATTTTGTATCATTTACGGTGGATTTGGGGTTGCGATTTTTTCCACTCTTAATTGTGTTTGGACTTTGCGTGTTACAACACTGAATTCTGTTACAGTTTCATTTTTAACGCACATTATATTTCAAGTATTAACCTTTAATATCATTCGTTTTATTTTAGTGACTTAGAAATTTTAGCTTAATTTCAAGTGCATTGTGTGATAGTTCGGTTTGAAAAATTGTTTTCAATGTTAATTTTATGTAGTTGGTTAATCAAAAATATCTACAACAACCACAACGAAATAGGAAGTGATTGAATTTGTTCTCTTTTCCTTTGCATGCGGTTGGTTTGTTGAAACTTTTTATGGAAATTTAATTTTCGAGAATGCGAGTCAAAGCAATATATAATAACACAATAGATTGTGAAGTACTCACTGGAGTTCATCAGTCATTGCGGCAATTGCTATAAAAATTAACAAATCCCAAGGACAGACATTTTATAGAGTTGGAATATTGTTGAGGAGACCTGTTTTTTCGCATGGTCAACTTTACGTCGCAGCCAGAAGAGCTAGATCATTTGACGGGCTTACATTTTATGTCAGTAATGATTGTGGACAAGGTCATTTGCCTAATGATGGAAGGGTGTTAACGAATAGTTTTGTTTACACTGAAGTTTTGAGAACTTTGTAATATAAAATATAGAATTATTATTATTTTAGATTTTTTTAGTTTAAATTAATAAAGTGGTTGTAGTCCGATTTCGACTATTTCCGCACTGTGACATAGAAATATCCTATTTACAAAATTTGGTTGAAATTGGTTCAGTAGTTCAGCAGATACGTGATTTTACCTAAATGTGGGTGATGCTACGCTCGTTGTCAATCTTGACATCGGTTCCTATAAAACCATCTTGTAACATCCTGCATGTAAAATTTAATGTATCTGATGCACTTTTAGTAATTTTTAACAAAATCGGCGCTCGAATGTTTTAAGAGATATAGGTATAATTTAAACTTATTAAGGAGCGGAACCCCGCCCTCTTTTTCAATCTTTTTTCAACCAAATATGCCCCTCCCCAATGCAATGAATAATGCTAATGGAGTTGGCGTTTTGGATGGTGCACAGAAAACCATAATTTTAACTTTAATTCCAGCACTTTTGATTTATCATAACTATTTTGTATCATAAAATGTCGACAAAAACTTCCACAACTAAAAAAAAGGTGGGAGGAGTGGGTAGTATAGCCTAGGCCTAATTTGATGCCGTAATTAGACTATATGCACTCTTACTCCACATGTAACACCATTGTAAGATTTGATATAGGAATGAAATTAGTAACAATGGATACTAAGTATGTGGAAACTCTCATCTAAAAAAGGGTCCAAAAAGGACTATAGCGGTCAGGTATCTAATATGTAAAAGTTCAAGCTTAGGTCTAACATTTTCCAGAAAAAAAGTTTCTATTGATAAAACATATTAATTTAAAAAGTATGATAATGGATAAGATCGGTGCAGAACTAACCCTACCGACGAAATTCGAGCATCAATAGTCTGAAATCGAGCATCATACAAAATTTTGCTTAGACGTGGCAATAACATATGTCTCATGCAATTAAATGTAATTTTATGATCATCGGATAAAGTTTACAAAGTTATGTATATTAATAAACTTTTCGACATTGGACCTCTTATCAGAGATTATCAAACATGGAAACATACAAAACTTAACAACTAAAATATATCAGGGATATATTAAGAACCCATTTTATAATAATGAATAAGAGTTTTATTCAAACATTTAAATAAATAAAACGGTTTTAATAGGATTTTAATATGTAACATGATTTTGTAATATGATTTACTACATTGATATCTTAATCTAAACATTATTTATATTTTAAAAATACCCATACTAAATGACAAACAATATGCAACACGAAAGTTCCCCGGTATATACAATGTCAAATTTTAACCATAATAAAATATTTCGAAAACTCCATGTTTGGCGTTAGAACATGCCAGCTGCGTGCTTTTGCCGCTTAACCACTCTTCGTTGCGGCAAGTTGACCTGTCGCTCAAAACAGCGTGCAAGAAATGTTAATTGTTATTTTGGATTAAACTTTTGCGTTTTTTAATAATTTTCCCTCAAAATTTTCTCGGTGCGAACCACTAATGTTTTCTACCGACTTTTTCACACCTAACAACTTTTCATTGTCGCATAAAGTACGTACGAGTGTTGTCGCTGTTGCTGTTGTGATTTTAATTTTTGGCATTGTTTGGCTGATAGCACACACAGCTGGGGAATGTACATACCTGCATGCATACATAAGAACGTGCATAGGTATATGTACGAACTAAATTTACATGGGCCGCATGCAGCAAGCGAAGCTGTGTTAAGTCCAAAATGAAAGACTGAATCGCGAAACCTGCAGAACCAGTCTTCATTCGCTTTGGCAATGCCTTCGCCACTGTTGTTGTTGCTGTTACCAATGCTGCCACTACCGCTAGCACTTTGACACTGACAATGCTTGTGTCGGCATTGGAAAGAGCAACAGCAGCGGCAGCAAAAAGAAATGCGAAATGCTATAATGGACAAATACTATTTGGCCGCTGGCAGCTTTGTTATTTCGCTGTTGCCATATGGAGAGTATGAGCATACGCTACCGTTGCGGTTGTTTGGCTGTTTGGCTGTTGAGTTGCTTTGGTGTTGCTGGTATGGCTCACTCTTACTGCCTTGTTGCTGCTGCTGCTGCTGCCATTGCGACTGCGCCTTTTGTGGCTGCGTCTGTCATGTGCGACTGACAATGGCTTGGCGCGCGCAGCTGGCGTTGCTAAAGAAGAGTGGAGATGCTATATAAATTGTTGAGACTATTGGAAAATTGTATCATTTCATCCTTTCACGTCTAAACGGCAACACAACCCGAGCAACGACATAAGTGGTAGAGCGGTGCGCTTTTTTCGTACGATCCCGTTATTGTTGTGTGTGGATTGATTAATATCGTTAAGTTTATTACGAACCAAAAAAAAAAAACAGAATTGGAGTTAAAAGAGAAAGTGCATTCAACGAAAAGTGTGCAAGTTCAAAGGTTAAGTTCACAGTCTCGAAAAATCGAAAGCCAAAAGTGACGCAAAAAGTCAATAAGGACTTAAAAAACATAAACAAAACTGCGACGACAAAACTTTAACGAAAACCAATACAAATAAAACAAAAGTGTTTGCAAAAATGTCACAAATTAATGCAATTTTCGGTGTCTTGTGTTTGATCACAATTGCTGCCGCACTTCCCGCCGAGGAGACACGGGGTCATGCGCGCAATGCAGTTAGCGGGGACAATGACATCATGGATAGCATCTACAGCGATTGCTTGCGAAAGGATTCGGTTTCTTGTGTCAAATATAAGCTCTTCAATTTCGTCGACAAAGTGCTCTCCGCTCGCGAGCAGTTCTCACTGACCGAAGGTGTGACGGTGGTACGTTCCCCCGATGCGCCCGCCACCGAAGCTGCCCGCTCCATCTCTGGTGACGAATCATTCGAATCGCTGGCACTCAACCGCATTTCAAGCTTCCTAAACAGCCACACCATTAAGGTTGAATTGAAGGGTGCCGATATTGTGCAAGCGGTCAGCTCAACTGGACGTGCGCTCGAAGATGTCTCCGAATCATTGTTCGGTGGTAATGACGATCCCAACGCACCTGAAGAGAGCCGTGGCAAGAAGAAGAAGGCTGCCAAAATTTTGGGCCCCATTCTTGCTTTGGTCGCATTGAAGGCCGCTGCTTTGTTGCCACTCTTATTGGGCGCAATCGCTTTAATCGCCGGCAAAGCTCTGCTCATTGGTAAAATCGCTTTGGTTCTGTCCGCTGTAATCGGTCTAAAGAAACTGTTGTCTCAAGAGAAACATGTCACTTACGAGGTGGTCGCCCACCCACATCACAGCGCATCCCACTCCGTCAGCCACGACTCATACGGCAGCGGCTACAGCGCCGATGCCGGTTCTTCTGGCTCATACGGCAGCTCCGGTCATGGTGGCTGGGGACGCTCACTCGATGCACAAGACTTGGCTTATGCTGCCCAAAAGCCCCAAGCATAAGTTATTTGTAGTTAAGTGGAAAAATAAGGACTTTACAATGACATTTGGCAGGGGAAAATATTTGGAGCTTCAAAACCCAATGACACACATAACAACGATAAGTACGAAATTTGGACCAATGGACAGGCAATACGATTGGCAGCAAGCAGCAAAGAAGTTTTGAAAAAATTCGCTCTAAACTTTCGGCGTGTACGCATGCGATCGTTGGGAAAGCGCGGCTGCCAAGGCCGAGGCCCAACTAGACACAACGGGAACGAAAACCACAAAACACAACATTTAACAAAACGAATCTTAATTATATTAATTTATTTGCTAATTAATTTATTTAATTTATTATATACTGTTACTTTCATTAAAAAGATACAAACATCGAAAGGACTTGTAGCCTAGTCCTTTTGGATCAGTGGATACACAAAGTAAATATGTAGAAGAAAAAAACAACTAATACATAAATACGCAGAATATACGCATATATATAAAAGAGTTTATTCAAAAACTAAAGAACTGCGTGTGGGCATTTTATAACTTAAATTATTTACATATTTTTATACATATATAATCTACAAAATAATTAATTTATTTGTTTTTAGTAATTTTTCTTTTAAGCAAACGCTACATCACAAACTGTTTAAGATTATGTAAAAATTAGCAGACAAAATGAGAGACGAAGTCGGTACCTTAATATATTTATAAATTTTTTCATCCCTTTTTGCACAGCAGTCACATCTAAGACTTAGCAGTGCTTTAAGGGAGTTGCTTGTAGAGTTAGATTGTTTGCGCGGCGGCTCATTGTACGCTGACCTGCGAGCGAGACGGCGAGCAGCAGATCAACTAGCTTAACAAGTGCCGCAGCGAAGATTTACTAGCTTCACATTAACACGCACTTACTTCACAATAGCGCACTAAGTGCAACTAACAGTTACCTTTCTTTCACTTGCAGTTCAAATTCTTAAGGCTCGACTACTGGCATCACCAGTAAGCTTGAAACATAACTTCAACTTTTCAGAAGCACACGTACTTTAACTTTTCTATTTTTTTCAACATTTTCTTCGTTTTCATACTTCATGTCTAATCTACTCTCATTTATTGACCTTTCAGCTGAACTCACTTCACTTACAAACAGTGTCTACTGCACTTCTTCGCTCATTACTGCAACGTACACACAACAGAGAATTCATATTCGATACTTGCAAATATCACTCAATTAGCACTCACTTATTTTTCTTTCGCCTCAATAGAGGCTCCGTCATGCTATCCTTTAGGACTACTATCTATTGTTCTTGCTACTCTTAAGCTACGCTTTAATATGTTACTTCGTAATATATCTTTATCTTTCTCTTGTACAAATCGCTTCACTATTCTTACTTTAGCTCTCACTCGTATAAATCTATGTACAACCTCTACATATAATTTTATTAATTATATTACTATATTTTCAGTTAAAATTCTAGTCTTACGTATAAACATACAAACATACTTATAAAATGCGTGAGTTTAGAAAGAAAACACATACAATCGATCCAATCGTTTCATTAATTCTATAATACAATTACTTGAAATAAAAATACTCAATATTTTTAAGTACTACATCTAATTTCATAAGCCTATGCACAAACTCAGCTATAACTCAAAACTCAAACTATATGCTATTCATTTCAGTCTTTTTCACTTCACCTTTCCCTGCTACTTCTTTAACTGGTATCCTTTGTAAAGGTGTTCATCGTTTCGATCAAAATCGCCATAACTTGCCATAGGTTTCGAACTAAACTGCCCTCTCACTTACTTCTATACACATTTTCTAACCCTCAACTCATAATCTTATTCAAAGTATTTCGTTATGTATTCCTTTCTTACTACAAAAAAACTATACACAATTTTTAACCATATTCATATTTCATACCTACTGTTCTACTACTATCTTTTACATTTAAGCACTCGGTCGACTCAACCTCTTTCGTTACTTTTATCAAAAATACTCAAACTTAATTTTTCTAATTTCATAAATCATATTCTCATATCTTCTCTGCTACTAAGTCGCACTCGCAATATAAAAATTACTCTGTCTTTGCTCCTTTTAACTATAAACTACCTCTCTTGCTCTACTTCCCTTCAAACTACTCTCATTACTAAATTTTACATTTTCTCACACTATTACTCTCGCACACACTTTCTATGCTAATATCTCTTTTGCTCACCTTCTGAGTAAGTCCTTATTTTCATTTTGTGCTCATTAACTCAATCAATGAGCACTAATAAATATCCACATGTTACACAATAAATATAATGATAGTCATTTAAGTATTTATTGATTTCATTCTTATCTATTTAAATGAGTCTAATTTATATGTAAAATACATCCACATATACCTAAATATATATGTATTTAAAATATTATATATATATATATATATATATAAATATAATGAGATAAATGAAGTAGTCCTTTTCAAGCGTAATCTAAAACAAACTGTAAATGTTAAAATGCTATAAACCAACAAAGAATATCTGATGTATTCGTAAATATGTCGAGAGCACACACTAAAATCTCAACAAAAAAAGTTAAACTAAACAAAATATTATAAAAAACAAACTGTACAATTAGTATTTGTATTTATGTTATTAATGTCACGTTGTCATGCATGCATTTCGTTCAAATATGAATAAAAATCCCAAAAAAATTATAAAATAAAATACAAATTTGAATCATGGTCATTTCAGATGCACATTGAGTTGAAGATATTTTGAGTGTGTATTTTAGGGTTACCTTATTTGAGCAGTACTTAGAGTTAAGGATTTCACGGCACGAGTGTGGATTACAAGACTGAGCAATATGGTACAATTTTATATTAGAAATAACTAAGCAGTTCAGTATTTCATGAATGAAAACAGTTAATTTGATTAAAAGAACTTTTCTAGATCTAAATAAGTTTGGTTATAATTTATGCTAAATGAGTTCAGTAACCTTTAAAAATTTAGCGAAAAGCCCTTACTAACTTTTACGCTTTGTTTTGATTTTATTATGAAATTCATTCAATTTCTTTCTTTCGAACCTAGATATCTGTTCATATTCAAAGTGAAAATGAATTAAATGACGCTAATCTTAAAGTCATCTGGAGATTGAAAAGAAGCACATATTCAAGGAAATGTTTGAGTAATTATCAGATTTTTAACTTTCACTTGCGAATAGAAACAATTTTCGTGTATGTAATATTTCACTTAACTTAATTTTTTTTAGTTAACCCATGCACAAATTTTGATTCAAATATTGATAATCAAACTTAGTGCATGTGAAATCGTGAAAATCTGCAGCTTACGCGCGGAATATGATACTGAAAAAAGCTGACATATAAACAAGCGACCAGAGGTATGAATTTCACATGTAACCATGGCATTATGCAATTTCTCTGAATACTTTCATCTAATAAAGTGTTGGGATTTTTTGAGCAGCATTGAAAATGTAATTAAAATGCATAATCTTGTGGTGAAATTCGGCTTAGCAAACAAAGAAGTTGAAGAGTTTATGTAAATATAATATAAACCGCCCATATAAAAATCAAACCTAAAGCAGAGTTTTGAAACTAGTAAGCGCTTAGCTACATTTGAGTGTCATAATTTCTAGACTTTGATTCGACAATAAGTGCAAAGAAATCATTCGAAAGTTCCGCTTTGTAATGACTGCGAATGCCTTTTCACTTCGACAATAACTATTTACTAAATCAATTGACAATGTGGCTAACACCGAAGATGCTTTGTAATGCAAAAAAGTCGGAGTAAAACTCCGCGACAACTACTTGACTTGACTTGAGATGAATCGCTTCCAAAGCACTGATTTCACTTTTCACAATTCCAAGAGATATTTAATTAAAATATTTATGAATAAAAATGTGCAGACTAATGGAAATAAATGCCAATCATGGACAGCTTTACAAACATACAGGTGTATCTGTTATTGTGCGCATTCGAGTCTTACCAACAAACCAAATCACGTTGACCAAGTCTGAAGCACTTGTTGACCGGTGAGTAAATAAATTGTTTATGTATATACATAAATATGTATATAATACGTTATAAACATATGTAGGTTGCAGTATTACTTGCATGTTTTCGTCTGTAAGCTTTGGCATTGGTAGTGAAAGTGAACGCTAAATGTAGGGAGATATGAGCTTGAATTGATATATTTGAATTAGTTGTCTGCCAACTTAACTAAATGTTGGCACAAATTCCGCGTTTAGAAACTCAAAGTAAGACTTTTACTTGATAATAAATATATTTGAAGAGAAGTGTAATGGGGATGGGAAAGCTCTTTAGAGAGTTTTATCAAATTTAAAAATTTTTTACAAGAAAATCGCACTCTTCCAAAAAAATTGATCTTAAGGGTTTAACCCAAGATTTTCTCAAAGCTTAGTCTTCGATATAATCGAATCTATCTAATGAAAACGTATTTGAATATGTATTTGGTACTACATCAAATGTAGAGTCGTGTCACCATGTGTACTTCAACAGGCTATTCTTTAAATTGAGATTATTTTCATCGCCTCCGAACAACCGATGGAGTTGTTATGTGTCTGAAATTTTCTTGACAATTTGATGTTAACTAATCTCTTTTAAAAAATATTTTTAAAAAAGTTTTATGCTTGAATTGGTCGGGATTTTGACGCTTCAATCTTTTGGTGACTTTAGCTAGTGGAATAAAATAATAATAAATATTATTGCAGATCAAGTGTCTATACCAAGATGGAAATTCAACAAACCATTTTCTCACAAAGTCACTCAATAAAAGGCTACATGATATTGAATACTTTTAATTTACGAATATGTAGCTAAATGGGTCATAAATAATAGCAGAACATTCAAAAGAGTTGAAGAAAGAATTATTTACCTATTCGTACCAATGCCTTAATTATACAGTAAACAAATAAAAGAATATACCTCGAAAATAAGTGTAGAAAATTAACAACAAAAGCTGTTTAAAACGAATACAATTTTCTCACGTAAAGCAATAACATAAAAAAATAACAAACATAACAGAATAGAAATGTCACGCATATGTAAAACAAGATACCCCAAATTTTAGAAAAGCAAAAAGCACATTCAGTCAGTGGGTCGGTATTTTCGTCAACATATAACATGCTCCCAATGCTGACGCCTTCAGCTTAAGTAGAAAGGTTTCGCATAGCGGAAGCAAACAAAAATTCTGAGTTATAGTCTAGTAACACTACAACTTTCACTCGCTTTTGGAATATATTGGCCAGCTTAATTAATGCTTCTTAATATTTTTTCTCAAACATATCACTACTTGCACGTGCAAGAATCTTTAATTAGTTTATATTTAAATAAATGAATAAATAAAGCCTCATCTAGGGATAATCTTTTCTTAAGATTAATAATACTATATAAGAAATAACTTAAAACTTGTATACTTTCGGTTATAGGAATCTAGTCACTATTAACAATAACAGAAAGTTTTACAGTTAGATCCGATCTTCAGAAGGCGTGTGTTTAAGAGTATGAAAAATTTAATAAATATTTTGGAAAAAATGGCATTTGAATAAAACAAAACTTATGAGTGCCTCAGTAGACACAGTCAAATAACGGGATAGAATAATTAAAAGAATACTGTAATCGGTTTATCGTCCTCTAAGTTGAATAATATAATTGAAAAAATCTACTCTCTTTTAATACGATACCAACTTTTCATCCGATAAAGCTTATTTTCAAGCTAACCACACTGCATAAAACCTAACCACAATGTAGAAAACAACATCAACCGTCACTTCTTACATGAGGGTTTACCGTTTGCTATAATTTTCGTCATATGCTCTCTTTAGTATTTTCTATCCTATAGAAAATGAGAAGCATATACTAGCCTCGCCGAAGGAATCTATGATAATTTGGAAGAGGTATCAATTCCAGAAAAAATGATTACGTCATTTCGTGAATTACACGAGTGTATACCACACCCTGATAATGAAATCATTTACAGTATATTGTTTCATCAGTTTCATATTCCTTATATTTATTTATATTTATATTTATTTATAAACATGTGTATGTATGTAATTCTAATTGCATAATTATCTGTTATGCCCTGATTGCTGTTTTATTTCGCCCTTAAAGTCACAGATTCCCTAGTATTTCCGTTTTTCCCACGAAATCTTTTTATTTGCCACAATCATTTCGCTGAAATGAATAGCGCGCTGTAATAACTCATTCAAAGCTTTTATTACCCCTTTTACATTTATATTGCGTTATTGCGCCGTTTAACCAGCAAGGTCCATAAAGTGATCAAAACGAAAGACTCAAGCAGCAAACTTGATTACACTGCCGCCTCTGTTGGTCTACTTAGGTGCAATTTGCAGCGTTTATAACCTCGTAAAGTGCATGTTCTGTTCATGCATTGTTTACTGCGCTATCCTCAAAAGAAAAAAAAGATTTTAATTAGAACTGCAGGAGTTATGCCTTTGTTGCAATTGTGAGCTTTGGGCTCTGGAGCATAATCAAATCCAATGTTTACAGAAAATGTGACATGCTCTACTAAAACAATAAAGTAAAGCGACGAAAAGAAGTTGCTATTAAGAAAATTGCATGTGTCAACAACCAAATAGGTGCACCAACGCACCCACACTTGCATACATACATATGCACACATATGCAGGGATGCCGTTAAGGCGTTAGCATACATGTAAAAATTAATGACTGTTAAGTTGTTATTGTTGGCTAGTAGCTGGTTTGGCTGAGCGCAATTCAAATAATTTCACTGTCATTGCTGCAAAATGACGACATGCAACTTGCAAGTAACTACAAAAGCTGCAACGAAAATCTGCCCGAAATACAAAAACAATTTTTGTGTTTGAATGTAAGCCGCTTTATGTATATGTCTCTGTGGACTTATATCCACATAAGGCTGAAAGTGTGTCAGCAGAACAAAATTGTCTACGGTGCTCGGTATGCCAAGACTCATGTCAAGTAAACCAATGTAAAGTGGAATAAAGCGCGGCAACAGCAGAGCAGTGAACAAAAACAAAATTAGCTGTTGAATCAAGTCAAGACGGCAGAACCGTCAGAGCACCCAACTAAATCCACTACAAAAGTTGTTTTAAGTTAAACTTGTACAAATTTGAATTTAAACTAAAACGAAAGTCAAAAGCATTTGCTAAGAAGTATCATCCTCATAATCAACTCACTGTTGGCAATATAGTACCAGATTCAGTTTCTGTTATTTGGCGGGCGCCACTTGGCCGCCTGTGCGTTCTTCAGAATTCGGTTTTTATATTGATGATATTAGTATGTACGTGGGTGCTCGTCAATGTATCAAGAGAGTTACACGAAAAAATGGCAACAAACTTGATTCAAAAGAAACGATTAAATATTTATTAAAAAATAACAGAGAAATTAATAATTTGGAGTAATTATACCTTGCACCCTAAGACCGGACACCCTATAAATATGTATAGAAAAGATCAGCGTGACTACTGGAGTTTATTTAGCCATGTCCGTTTGTCTGTTCGTCCCTCTGTCCTTCTGTCTGTAAATACGTGAACTAGTCCTTAGTTTTTGAGATATCGCTCAAAAATTTTGCACACATCTCTTTCTCCCCAAGTAGCGGCTCATTTGTCGGAACCGCCGATTTCGGACTACTATAGCAAATAGCTGAAATACAAACTGAACGATCGGAAGCAAGTTCTTGTATG